CAGAGCAGGGAAGAGAAGAAGCTGGAGAGGAGACTGGGGAAGGAAGGAGAAAGAATGGAGAGCCAGAAGGAGAGTGGGAGTGTTACAGAGCAGTCCTGATATAAAACAGGTAACCTTCCCTTTGGTGGTGATGGGATTTGTCTTTCCCAATGTCCTGATGGCTTTGGTCTGGAGTGAAGGTGGAGTCCACAAAGCCTGTATGAAATTAGCTTTAGGACATCCTTTTCCCCCTAACAGGAGGAGGCACATGGAGCAGAGAGGCATGTGAAGAAACTGCGCTTGCATTTTGGTCTTGGACTGTTGAAACAGATTGGGTGAGAGACCTGTGGGGAGGTTAACAATGGCAGCTTTTATCTTGATTTTGTTCTTTTCCTCCCAGACTTGTCTGGTTGTTTCTAACTCTTTTCTATGGGTTCCCACCAGTAAGTGCCTTAAACTTGTGGCAGGCTTTTGGGCCTCAGTGGCCTAGCTTTGGGCCAACCCTGTTTGGCTGGGCATTTACCCACAAGAGGATGGGTAGCTTTGGGTGCTGGATTCAGAAACTATATTCTTTGTCTTTTCTTTGTTGCACACTAATTGCATTAAAGTCCCTTTTCATTAGAAGTCTTTTTTTTTTTTATAGAAGCATGTTTATTTATTTATTTGTTTGTTTGTTTGTTTGTTTGTTTTGTTTATACATGCACTGGGTACAGTCAGAAGCGCGGGAGGGTGAGAGAATTTACCAGAGCCAGAGTGGGGAGCAGAACAGGCAGAAGGACCGAAGTACACTGCTGAGGGGAGCAGCGGGCGGCAGGAGAGGTCTGCGCGCCATGTGGGACCCTCCTCCGGTGGCCGGGGAGCAGCCGGGGATCGAACCGGCGCCGCAGAGGCTGCGGGCAGCTTCGCAACCCAGCGCTCAACCGCTGCGCCACTGGGGAGGCCCTCATTAGAAGTCTTATATGTTTTGTCTTGATGGAGCAGATGGCAGAACCTATTTAGAATGGGCAGGTTCGGGAGTTCTGGGGTGTCCCTCTCCCTGCCCTGTAATATTACTGACATATTTTCAGTGTCATATGTGATTAATTCTCACAACCTCAGAAACTGGAAGGTCAAAAATCACACAAATTGTAAATGATAGATTCAGTGTTTTAACTGAAGTCTTTGAGATTCCAACTCCATGCTTTCTCCCCTATACTGTGTTTTTCCCTGACCAAGGACCTTACTACTGTCTGAGCCCCAATCTAAAGACACACTTGTGGTCTGGGCTCTGGCCTCCAATTTACACTACACTATCAACTGAGCTCCCGGAAAGCACACTGGCACCCTCCTCACAGACAGCCTGAGTCGGCCTAGTTGAAGTACCTCAGCAAAATAGTCCTGTCTGACAGCTCACAGTTCCTTTACATTAGAATTAGGTTCTGCTGTGAGTAATGAAATACTCTGAAAACAACTATAGTTTAAACAAATTGGTTTCTCTCACTTTTAAAAAATACAGAGGTTGGTTAGTTGAGAGCTGGACTAGGACACCACACTCTCAAGGAGGCAAACTTTTATCTGTTCTACTGGCTTCCATTCCCAAGATTACTTCTGTAGACATAATGTAAAATTTTCTGGGGGCCTCCAGCCACTTGCCTGGAGGGCAAAAATAACAAGACTTCTACACTGACACCACCTTGTATGCAAAATCTACTGCCTGAAGGTATAAGTCAGTCTTTTCAGAGTAAAATAAGTGGTTTAACAATGGGCACCCAGCCTTTGCATTGCTGCAGGATATTCTTAGGAGGGGAGGAGATTGGATGCTGCTTAGCTATACTCTAGATCAGGAGGTCTTTGGATCAGGACAATTTAGAGGCTAAGGTACCGTTATCAAGAATAGTCATGTGCTTGGTGTTGATGACACTCTGTTTTTGGCTATGTAAACTGGATTCAAACTCATGCTTCTCTGAAACAGGTCTCATAAAGATCTGTTTGGGCTGTTTCCTGGGTTTGAAACTTCACTTTGATTATCTAGTAAACACATTGTCTATTCTTTACACTTTTTCAGTTAGCCCTGCATACAATAGCTGCAGGAATTAAGCTATCACATCTACATTACTGGAAAAAAAAAAAAAAGGAAGAAAAGCATGCACCCAGTCACTATTCAGTAAGAATATCTGAAAGTCTCATTCACTGTCTGTAATAGTGTAATTCCCATAGAAAGGGAGGTTCCATGTTCCCTGCCCCACTTATTGAAGGTAGAGCTGGGTATCAAGGAGAAGCTAGAAAGGATCAGATAGAGACTTATGGGAATAGACTTAGAGGAGCCACGTGCTGAGACATGTAAAGAAGAAGCTGTGCTTATTTCTCAGCCTTGGACTTATGCCAGGGACCAGGGACAAGAAAGGAGACACTTAAAAGAGGCATGGGTGAGAGACCTCTGGGGAGGCTGAATGTCAGCCATTACCTTGATTTGTATTTTGATTTTGCTCTTTTCCTTACAGACTTGCCTGGTCCCTTTGTTGTAGAGCAACCCCAATATAAAACGGGGTGCCTGTGGGTCCTCACCCGCATGCTTAAAAGGACTTATCAATGCTCTACTGCAGGACACGTGAAAGGTT